TGTTAACTGAGCTGGTTCTTCTCTCTTCTTCACTCCCCCCTTTTTACTCCACGTCCCATGGAAGCCAGCCGGAAGTTGGGTGGGTACACCTGACATGGGGCTCAGAGTTATGGGTTCTAATACTAGTAACTGTGAGTAGCTACAGAAGACCATGTACATGCGTACAGTGTGTATATGTGTATAGTTTTAGGACAGAGAGTACACATGACTTCAAGTAACTGAGCAAAGAGGTTTTAAGAGCTTAGGAACATCAACAGCTTGGTATACTGGAAGCCAGCAGAAGTGACATGTGACCATAAGAAAGACTGGTTGAAGATTAGAGCACTTCTTGCTGATTTCCAGAAAAGACTAGAGAACATGGTGAAGGGCGGGGATGTGTGGAATTCAGGCAACCTGTGTAAACTTAGGGTTTACTACTTTGTGTTAACTGCCAACAATATTATTACAATAATAATGAAAACTAATGATCTGCTTGTGTGATATATGTATGTATGTGTACTTGCCGAGCACTTCATCTGACAAAGTAAAATCAGTATCATTTCAGTGATCCCAGAAAGTATTTTTGGAAAGCTTAAAAGATGTTAATAATTTGGAAGGCTACTTGGGCAAATCAATTCCCAAATATTTTGAATGATAAAGCTAAATTTAGAAGCGAATAAAATATACAAGATAGCATTTCCAAAAATATTAAGTTATATGATAGATATAGGCAGGGTCTACTTATTGACTAGCTCTTAAATCAACTCTTTTGTGTTTAAAAAGGGTCACTCATAATCTAAGCCTTCCTCTGTTTTAAACACTAAAAACAGCACTGGCTAGATTATAATTACCCCTAGAGTTTGATATTTCTTTGAACGACGTTTTTATCTAGCCAAAAAATTAGGCACCAGGGAGGCTTATGTATTCATTCATTTGCAATGCTGACATTTAATAGCACTTGGTATCATGAAAATTAGGATCACACCTGCATTACAGTTTAAAAGGTAGGAATCCACAGAACATGGCCATAACTTTTAGGGGGAAAAATCCATTTTTGAACCATTATTGCTTTATGGCACTATTTGACAAAAGAAAATGTATTTCTCTTTCTCCAATTTACTTTATTTCCCCAGTTACTATCAAGTCTGACATGGGTTCAAATTCCTGTTCTTCTATACTTACTCATCCTGGAGATGTTCAACCTTTCTGAGTTTTAGTTTTGTTAACTATTGGTGGAATGGAAATGTTAACCTACCAACTTTACGAGATTGCTGTATGCATTGAATCACGTAACATAAGAAGGCTTAGGCATATCACTGTGAAATAAAATTCTGTAATTAACACCAATTTTTATCACTCTGGTGTGTAGAAAATAGTTTTCTTACAAAGTCAGACCTTTCCTCTGAAATGTGTTATTAATATTTCAGACTAAATCATTTGGGCTCCACAACATGGCCTTAAGTTTTAGTAAATCCTAGGGAAAGTAAGTAATAATTATTATTATTTTGGCTACATTCATTCATTTACTTATGCAGATTTTTATTTATTTGAAAGAGAGTGAGTGAGTGAGTGAGAGAGAGAGCATGAGCAAGGGGAGAGGGAGAAGCAGACTCCCCTGCTGGAACCTGATGTAGGGCTTGATTATGTAGGGTCCTGGGATTATGACCTGAACTGAAGGCAGTCACTTAACTGACTGAGCCACTCAGGCACCCTTGGCTACATATATTTAGAAATACAAATGAAACTTTCTGGGCAAAAGCAGGTCATTCAGGTCATTCAGAATTTTTAGATCATCTTAAATTTGGAGTTGAAAAAGCACTGAAGTCCATTATTGTAACCCCACACATTTTACAAAAGAAAAGTTAGTCCCAAAGAACTTTAATGGATTTGCTCAAGTAGTATATATAGGTAATAAGGTAAGAAAATATGAGTACTTAGTTCTAATAACTTCTATTCCAATTGTTCTTTACACTATATATACATACCACTCTGCCTTTATACTGTGTTTCACCCTTTTGATTAATAGTGCTGCTTCCAAATGACTTTTATTTTTCCAAAAGTTTGCTATTTCAACTGCTTCTAGGCAATCAAAAATTTTCTATTAGGTTACTTATCCCAACAACTATTTTCCCTTTATGCCTTCCTATGAAAATGTTGATTTTCTCCATATATGGAATGGCAATATAACCAGTGACGGTAAGCCTCTATTCTTGCCCCAGGGAATAAACCAGGTAATAAACAATGATTGATCTAAGCAAGAAGTTAATCCCATTCTACCTTTGTTGGTGGATTGGTTTAGAGTAAGCTAGTAACCAACGGAACCTGAGGGGAAGTTTTGAGGGGATTTTGAAAAAGATGCCTTTGCTTGATTACAAAAAGAAACAAAGAAAAAAAGGAAACTTACAGTGAGTGTCCCCTTTCCACTTTCTTTGGTTGTTTCTCATAAGCACATAACGCAGCAGTCATATCTACTATGAGGAGAAAGCTAAAAGTCTCACAGAAAAGCTCATCCAGAGCTCTGACATTACTGTCTTAACCAACCCCCAAATCACCTTGCTCTAGATTAAATTATATAAGCAATAAACCTGTATTTAGTTAGGTAATCAATTACTTGTGGCCCAAAGCTTCCAAATGTGAAATTCCAGCATTTTCTAGTGAAATCATCTTACCTAGCTTCTACAATAGAAGACTTCCTTCTCAGACCAAATAATATAAATGCATTTTAAATTGAGTTTTATTAAAAATCAATTAGGTGTGTTAGTAAAAAAGGTGCTCTTTGGTAGTCCACAGTATTCAAAACTTTAGGACATGACTGAAGAAACTAAAATAATAAATCTAAAATAATACAATGTTCATTCAGTATAGAAACAAATCTGAATTTGTATATCCATTCTAAAAATTTATAAAAATAACTTCAAAAACCGTAAGTTTCAAAAAGATGTTATTCTCAATTACTTAAACTTATTTTTGAAAAACACTGCTGTCATGCTGACATGAAGCTTAAATATATTTTATTACCTATCAAGAGTCATTTTATATGACAAAACATTGTTTTCCTAAACAAATGTATATACATCACCTCTTAAAAGAAAAAATTTACTATCTTGAATTCGAAAAATGGCCACGGATTTAACAAATTGTAAAATTATGACAATACTTTCAGCTACTGAGCCACATGAGAAAAGACCAAAAAGTAGCCATAAAAAAAACTTGTCAAAAACCCATGAATCACTGAAGAGAAATGAAGAGTCACCCACCCTCAAGAAGGGCCAACTGATTTGAAATACTAACTTAGCTTTTTGTTCTGCCCTAAGTTTCAGAATAAGGGCACAAGCTAGGAGATGTTAAGAAATGATGGTTAAAAGCAAGTAAAGAAAGGAACCTGTAAGTAGAGGCTAAAAATCGTAAATGTTTGGGGGTCACACACTAGTGACACATACACAATAGTTCCCAAGGATATGACACCAGAATAAACTGATGCTCAAGATGATTTTTTTTAATTTAAAATAATTTGATTAATATAGCAAAAACCAGTGCTGACTATAATGAGACTTTGTAATGATGGGGACATTAATCATGGTAAATAGCATTATAGTCCAAACTTTCTCACCAAGATAAGATTTGTCAGTACTATTAAGAAAACAAGCAAATAAACCCAAACGACTAGAGTTAAGCAGAACAGAAAGCCATTTTCCTCCTTTTCATAAGTCTATACCACTATAATTATTTTCTGTCCTAAGAAAACAGACCCTTCAGGACACCCCAATTAGGTAAAGTAACCAGGTACTCCATTTAAAATAAATATGTACATCCTGAATTAGGTGCATGTATCCAATAAATACCAACTTAAAGGCAATTCACTTAGGAAGGTTTAAAAAAAACATTGTGATGGCATTTTGTTGGAGCACTACTAACGTTAGAATGAACCATTTTAGCTAAAGATCAAATTTATTTGGATAATCCAACTTTTAAAAGATAAATACTTTTTATAGCTACTTAATATTACCATAGTAGTACTGTACAAAAAAATGAAGGAAAAGATGAGAGTTTGAGATTAACCTGCAGGTTTTCACAGAATTACCAATCATTTTTGGTCATCTGTTTTGGTGTTGCTATAGCAACTTTATGATTCATGACCCCCTCACCCCAATAATTCAGAGGACTGAATTATGTATGAAAAATGTATTGTCAATGTGTTTCCAGTATCAATAACACACATTAATGAATCTGATCTTACTATATAGTAAATTATATATTTTTAGCCTCAATATAGTAAATTAAAGAAACTACTAGCCACTAGAGAAACAAAGAGGAAATTATCCATATACCCAATCTTTATAAAACTGTGTCTCATGTCAGTCCTGAATGTTAAATCCACTACATCTCTTAGTTTGGAGACACTTCAAATATGTCTTTCTTTACTGAGAGACTCAAACAGATGAGTCTGTGTATAATGCTTACAATGCTTATTTACAGAAAACAAATTTGATCTCATAATTAGATATAAACTTAATAGAAATATCTTTTAAAGTTCACAAAAAAGAACCCTCATCTAAAATGCATACAAGTATTTAATAGTGAAGTGTCATGATGTCTACAACTTACTTTCAAATGGGATTCAGCAAAAGAAAAAGAAAAAGCATATGTGTGTATATATATAATACGTGTAAATACAAGAGGGAAAAGCAAATGTGGCAAATTGCTATCAATGCTGGATCTACGTGGAAGATATATGGGTATACAGAGTATTTTTTTTTCAGCTTTCCTGTGGAAAAATTTCCAAGTAAAAAGATGGGGAAACAAAGGACCCTCACAGGCTCCTACCTCTCTTGTGTTACAGTCTTTATCCTGAATATATGTCCAGTCCCTTTCTTTTGAGGCAATTACCTCAAGACCCTTCTGCTTTCATTTAAAACAACTGTCATAGAACTGTGTTATGTCTTTTTAAGGAAATCATAACTCCAGCAAAGAGTTTTTATAAGTAGATTTAAAGGCCAGTATCAGTGAATTAATTGTTTTACCTGAAAGTTAACATCTTCTTTCTTAAATATTAGTGCTCGAACTTCATCAGGATCTCCATTAAATATAGCTTGCACCAGTGATGGCTAAAATACAAGAGAGCAATAAAAATATTAATCACACTGCATGGATGATTCTAAAGATATTTCCACATAACTTTTAAACCTAAAATTTTTCTCCCCTTTAGCAACAATAATCAATTTGGTTTTTGACATTAACCAAAAGTTTCAGGAAGTCAAATCATATGAAAGTACAGGATTCCTCCCTGAATAAAAAAGGCCTAATTAAAAAAAAAAAATCAGTTCAGTATAACCAAAATTAGGTAGATAGTACAATCAAACTTTATTTTGTGTGAGTAGAAGTGTTTTGTTTATATATGTGTGTATATATATGGTAAAAACAAAATCTCTTCCAAATACAAGTGTGACATCTCAACATCTACTTGTGGAACATAACTTGTCGAACAAACCATTCCTAGGCCACACTGAGGCCCATGAAGGTAGTAGGCCTTTTTGAAAAGTTCGTTTGGGGCATTAAATAACTTGCATGGGTTAGCATTACACGTTATACAGATAGAAATCCAAGGAAGAAAATCTGGCAATTGATGAAAATCACTACTATCCAAAGACCAAAAAACATCACACACCTGAAAAACACGAAGAGGCAAACATGTGTATCTAAATATAACAATTTCTTAACAACACAGCCTCTCTGATAAGGTATCATATTATACTAGTCAAACAAGAAACCAATTGACAACAACATTAAAAGTAAGGTTAAGGATGAAGTCTGATTCTTTTTCATATAAAAGTGCTATGTGTAAATACATAAAATTCATTACAGAAAAGGCTGTGCCTCAGTATTTCTAGCCGTAGCTTTCCTAAAACATACAGTTCCTCATTCTTGTTACAGCAGTTTTTAAAACCACAAAATGAAAACAGAAACGTGGTTGCCAGAACTACGATTCTCAATTCTTTTAAAAAAAGTCTTTTTAAGAGAGTAAGAGACAGTAAGTAAAGTCTGAAATGTTATCTAAACATCTAAAGTAGTAAAAATCAGAAATGTGTGCATTTTATACCCAAGTAATACTATATCATATGTACATACCTATATTGCTTTATTTGGGTTTTTAATGAAACTAGTGGAAACCAACTTATGTTTATTCTTAAAAGATAAAATTTACCCTACTAGTTCAGCAGAAGACAGTAAACATAAACTCTCATATCTTACCAATACACTTCCAGAAGGTGGTGAATGTAGGGATTTATTTTCCTGTGGCAATTTAGAAATGAATGCAGGAGATTCATCTTCTACCTCCTCCAAAACAACAATACACACTCGACTCATTCGCTCTTTTAAAATACTAAATCCCAAGCTATGTGATAAAAGTCACAGTTGGAAGAGCACAAGTAGTTTTTCCTCCTCTTCTGTACAACACTTAGGATCATTCTCTGAACAGCGCAGCTGGTTTTTTAAAGTTAATAAGTACTATCAGAAAAACTGAAGTTTGAAATTATGACTACATAACTTCCTAAAAACAACAAAATTCTATTATCTTCTGTTGGGTTACTCTAATACTTAAAAGAAATTTCACATCAACATGTCAATTACTAAAACGGAGTCCAGCACAAGCTCATTTAAAAATATTTTTCCCCTACCAAAATAGTCATATTGCTCTCTGTCTCACAGAAATTTACTTGCATAAAAAGATCATTGTTTGGGGCAACAACACCACACAATACAAAATGAAATGAGAAACAATTACTGTGACAGAGATGATTACAGCTATACCCACTCTTGCCTGCAAGGTCATACAGTTACCAGTAGCTGACTTGCTTGTAATTAAAAAAAAAAAAAAAAAAATCTCACTATTTTGTTTCCACTTCTAACTTGTCTTCATTTCTTCAGCTTCTGGTTTAATACAGATATTATCCAGAAAAAAAAATATCTAGAGCTCAGCACAAATTCTTAAAATAAAGCTCAGAGGTTGACAATTCTTTCTGTGTTTGGGAAAGAAAAAAAAAAACACTCTGCATTAATAGCAAAGCTGCAGTACATTTACATGCGATGAGTCAGACCACAAGAGACAATAGGACTCTTGGTACTAGAATACAGCTTGATTAATCCAGATATCCCATGTAATAGAAGAAACACAGATAGCTTTATTCCCATCAATAGCATAAGCAAGGCAGAGCGTTCATTCTTTCTCCATCAGGCAGTTGTCTGTGGCTGCTCCAGCAAAAGGGCACAGCACCAGGCAGAAATAGTGTTAGCAGAGGATCCTAATGGAACAGGCAGGCTGCGAAGGAATTAGAAGGCATTTGAGCTCAAATTACTGCTTCAGGCTTTTCATTTAAAAAAAAGAGAAAAAAGCCCAGTAGTTTATCATTCCAGTGTTTCCTTTGATCTCCACATGAATACAGCTTCCATTAAATAGTCTTCATTCACAGGAAAAAACAGCCGACTGTGCATCTTCTTTGAGCCAACTACTTTATTCAATCATCTGCTCTGTGCCAGTATAGTTTCCTTCCACTGTAAAAACCGCTACAGTTACCCTTTCAGTAGATTTCAGATGCTTTCCCGTTCCTCAGATGATCTTGCAAAATGCCACTAATACCTCCAGTGAGTAAGTCCTTAAAAAATATCTACGGAACCTCAGGATCGGCCCCACAGAAGCATTCCAACTGAGCAACAGTCTGAATAGCAAAGACTGCAGAACCGCAGGATGAAATGCCTAGTAATGCTCACATGTTACACTTACCAGAGATCTGAGCTACTGCTCGGGATGTAACTTCCTCTAGCAGGAGAAAAAAATAGTGCATTTGGACAGCCTTCACAATTAGAAGGTTCATGCCAGTTCTGTGACTAATCCAGATCAAACTGAAAAATTCTATAACTGAAAAATGAGTGCGCTTTTAACATTTTCCACTAAAAGCCACAAGGAAATCTGGTGTACTGCCTCTGCTGACTAACACTGGTTTTAGCAAGTAAACAATTCCAAACAGCTTAACTGCTTTCGTATGTTACAATATAGCAAATGTTTAACCCTATAATGACAGCTGCAATAAGACTGTCTGCAGTGAGCCCATAAAAGAGATGAAGGAGAAATATTTATGAGAACATAAAAACACAAATCTAAGATTTTATTCTTATTTTTTACCAAGATCATTTTTTAATAAACCAGATATATTTATTTTCAAAAAAGGAAAAAGTTCAAACAAAGAAACTTAAGATTTACTAACAATTTCTAGGTTGTTGAATTTAATCTATCAGGTCATATATTTAAAGGGAAAAAATAAAAATGTAAAAATGTAAAAATCCTAACTCAAAACATCTGTGGATCATCTGAATTTCACTGAAGAAATTAAATAATTCTACCTTCCCATGTAGAAATGGAACAAAGCCTTAAAATCTTTTAAACAGCTTCATGAAACTATTGTTTGAAGTCCTTAGCATTAATTTTCTATATGTCAAAAAAGGCACAGGGTAACATAAAGCAAAGATTCTCCTTCCTCTATAAAATTAATTTCCCCAAAGCTACAAATTAAGTGTCAAAGGCAACCAATTTATAATTGGGTTTCCTCTTCTTTCTCTATTTACTAAAGAAGTCAGATATTTCCCAACAAAAAAATTACAAAGAAAATACCGTGGTTTCCCTTCAATCTTTGTTCTTTCTCCTAACAACTAGCATTTTTATTCATAAACCTAATAGCTATTTTTGAACATTTATGATGCACTAAGTGTTGTACATTCTCATTTAATACAATAAGCTTATGTTTTCATATAATTAAAAGGAAAAAAACAGACACAAAAATTATTTTATCCAAAGGCATATAAATTAGTAAAGTTGTGCCTAATTCCAAACACACTGCTCTTTTGAATCTTATTCTGCTTCCACTGAGTGTACACACTTGTACATGTACCCCCCACCCTTCCACTCTTTCTCAAAATCTCTCTCAAGATCTTTACCACCTAGACTGTAAGAGTAATCTTAAAAGACTGGTAATCTATAATGGTTGTGAAAAGTTTAGGTAACAAAGGAATATACTATTTATTGTCATAATATTCCTAAACAAGTTATTTTTAAATGGGTATTTCAGGGCTACTGTTATCACATGTGTTTAAACCAATTTACTTACCAAAACATAAAAAAAAAACCCCAGCATGATATAGATAATGTAAGAATGCCAGAATTTAAGAACAAAAACCACTAAATGTCAATCTATGAAAAAACCTGTAATCTTAACATAATTGTATCAAGATACTAAAATATGCTAACAATTCATAGTTGTATTTTAAAACACATAAAATATAAAATGGTTTTAAGCCAAATTAAAGATATGCAAATATTTTGACATACAAAATGATGTTAACTATCTCCACATGGCTAAATCAAAAATCTCATCTTGATATGTGAAACATGTGAAAATGAAACCACTATGGTAACAGTATCCTATATTCTATCTTCAGGTTTATTTTTTTCCCCCCACCCCAAACAAAAAGCTCTTTTTATATAACAACTTTAACTTGTTCCAAAGTATCTAGTGTATAAATTCACCTACTTAAACAGGTACATCCTGTCTCTTGTTTTATGTCAACTTCCATACTTAGGTCTTTCCTGGCCAGAGCACAACAAGCTCCTTGAAGGCAAGGACTATGTTTTTATATACACCGTGTGCACACAATTACTTCCCTTCCACTTTCTTCCACTTAAAAACAATTTCATTGAAAAGAATCCCATTATGTCACAAGACTCTGGAAATTGCGTGGCAAAATTATAAAAGACAACAGGGACCTGAAAAAAACAACAACAGGGAATTCATATGTATATATGAATACATATATCTTAAGGGGTGCCTGGGAGGTACAGTCAGTTAAGGTTCTAACTCTCGGTTTCAGCTCAGGTCATGATCTCAGGGTCCTGAGATCAAGCCTCAGGACAGCTCACACGCAGCCTGGAGTCTGCTTGAGAGTCTCTCTCCCTCTCCCTCTCCCTCTGCCCCTCCCGCTCATGCGCTCTCTCTCTCTAAATTAAAATTTTTAAAAAAGAGTATATATATTATATATACACACACACATACTTTAATCAGAAAACACAACAGGCATTAAGGTGCAGTAAAATGAGTTTCGTACCTCTAGTAGGTAAGCAACTTAACATGCAGAAGTTGACAGGATATAAAACAATGATGTAGGATGACAGCTAAAATTAAGGCCTCAGGAATCAGCCTACCTGGAATTCAAATTCTGATTCCATTACTGATTAGCTGTGTCCTTGGGCCAGGCAAATTCCTTGAGCCCAAATTTCCTTACACTTATAAGAATAATAACCTCCAGAGATTTTTATCTAGGAGAAATACAGTAATAGCACCGTGACTGACTGAGAACGTAGGCTTTGTAGTCAAACTGCCTGTGTTCTAATCTAACTTCCTACTAACAAACCTAAGTATGACCTTGAGCAAGTTACTTAACCTCTCCGTGTCTCATTTCAACATCTATTAAAGAACATTAACAGAGTCTAGTTTGAAATAAAATGAAGACAGTCTTATTATTATGGATATTTAGGGTAATAGAATGATATCCCGTCAGGGCGGTAGTTTCTCCCCCTACTGGAGAGGTGATTCAGACTGGTGTCTGGAAATTGCAATTCAGTTGCTTAAGTACAACTCCCCATACTCCACCCGCCCCCCCTTTTCAGGCCTCTTAAGACACTGCTAGAAGTTTGTCATAACACTCCAGTAATCAAACTAAGCGTTTGGGGGAGGAAGCAGTAAATTAAGGCAAGAAGTAGGACTAGGGGTTTTACTATTCTTCCACATTCACTGTATTTTACACTCTAAGGGAAGAGAAAGGTAAAAATTACTGGCCCATGATATCCTATACAATCAAAAACAGATGAAAAAACCAGAGATAAATACTTCACTATTTTTTAAGCTAACAGCACCATATGGCACTATTTTACACCTTCTACTAAATAAGACAGGCCCTTAATCTCAAGGAACTCGTATCTTAAAGGAAAAGGAGACAGGTCAAGAACTATTTAAGAAATTAGGAATGTACAAAGTTATTTATGATGAAAAATTACTGACAAAGACTGTGCAAACTTAAGTTCAATAATTTTTTTTTCAGTTGAACAATGGCAAAGGGATGTGGTTTTTTTTTCTTGAGGCACTTACTTTTTAGGCCAAATTAGATTACATTTTTAATAAGCCAACAAATTTAAACTCTGCCAACTTCATAATCCTTCCATTCTTCATGCTAAAATGTATTCTATCAACAGCTTACTCCTACTTCTCACAGAATCATGTAACAGTAAAGCTGGTTTAAACTTTTTTTTTTTTAAGGATTTATTTATTATTTATTTTGAGAGAGTGAGAATGAGAGAGAGAGAGAGAGTACATGAGAGGGGGGAGGGTCAGAGGGAGAAGCAGACTCCCTGCTGAGCAGGGAGCCCGGAGTCCCGCGACTCCAGGATCATGACCTGAGCCGAAGGCAGTCGCTTAACCAACTGAGCCACCCAGGCGCCCTGGTTTAAACTTTTAATGGTAAGATATTTAATGTCCTGAAAGATTTTTTTTTTTAGTTTCCTAATTTTGTTACACCAGAATTCTTTTTCTGACACAAATGATTTTTTCTTTCTGTACAGAGATTCAATCCAAAGCTCATCTTATCTGTGCTCCTCCATATTGATCTGTGACCTCCATATTGATTATCATAGAAAAGGAATTTTAGGGTGTATAAAGTGGCTACTCTGTACCAAGCTAGTCTCTGAGTATTAAAAAATAAAAAGCTTGTGGTGAAATATGTTAAGGAAGTGGGTTTAAAGCACATTTCAGAAACATTTCTCATAGTTCACGAATCCTGAACAACCTTCTTGAGCTAGGCTTTATCTGCCTACTTTAGAAAAAGTCCTATGAACAGATTTAAAAGAAAATGGGGCAGAAGGAGAGGGAGAGAAAATTTTTTTTTAAATAGCTGTTCTTTTTTAAAAAAATTTTATTATGTTATGTTAGTCCCTATCAAAATACCATCAACTCTTCTCAAAGAAATGGAACAAATAATTCTAAAATCTGTATGGAACCAAAAAAGACCCCGAACAGCCAGAGGACTGTTGAAAAAGAAAAGCAAAGCTGGTGGCATCACAATTCCGGACTTCAAGCTCTATTACAGAGCTGTAATCATCAAGACAGTATGGTACTGGCACAAAAACAGACACACAGATCAATGGAACAGAACAGAGAGCCCAGAAATGGACCCTCAACTCTATGGTCAACTAATCTTCGACAAAGCAGGAAAGAACGTCCAATGGAAAAAAGACATTCTCTTCAACAAATGGTGTTGGGAAAACTGGTGAGCCACCTGTATACAGCTGTCCTTTACATTATTGGTCAGATTTCCCTGTTCTTACTACAGCCACCGAAAAATGACTATTTAAAAATGATGAATTCAAAATCCTTATAACACACGCAAATTAATTCTCTGTACATAATGTATTTACAAACTAGGCTATTTTTTTAAATGTTACCCACCATACTTCCAAAATGGCTGACAACCACTGTTATCCAATGATCTCAAGTGGTTTGATCCCACTGGTATGTTATAAAGTTAATAACAAATTGTTAACCCTTCCATTATTAATATTATCATATACCACACATTGTAAACATATATTAATATTACCTATTATTACTCTGAAGTGTTCTTTACAAAGACCCATCCATATTCTGCATCTATTCTTCCAATCTTGCATTCAACTAGAACATTTAATTTTTAGGTAAGTTCAGAGCCTCACAGAACAAAGTCTATACTTCTCAGCCTCCCTTGTAGCTGGGAGCCACAAGACAAAGTTCTGACCAGCATTTTAAGTAGAGGTGTTATGTGGTTTCCCGAAAACTTCCTATTCCTACAAGGACAAATGGTATATCCACCCTGCTTCCTGGAACATGGATGACTCACCACCATCTTAAACCAAACAAG